AGAGAGAGAGAGAGAGAGAGAGAGAGAGAGAGAGAGAGAGAGAGAGATATGCACATTGCCTCCTTTATGATCAAACTCCTGCTTATCTGGTGCTGGCTGCTAGAGGAAGCCTAAGAAGGAAACAGAATGCACTTCTTCCAATAGCCAATATCCAGATAAGCAAGAATCAGCATTAGAGAAAAATCAAGATGAAATAGTACCCTAATCATGGAACCATGAAAGCCACAGCCGTACCAGCAGGGTGAGCTACTGTATATAAACAGCCAATAATCTTCAATCTCCTTTGCACTGATGATGTTTCCTAGCTATCTATAAAAAACAACCAAGCTCAGAGAGCACCAAGAACCCAACAGTGATTTTATTACCCAGAAGGTAAAGTGTCTAATGCTCTGCCTCAGAGGATTCTGGCATGAGGGAACCTCTCCTGGGAGTGCAGGATGGACTTCAGCCGGAGGAAGTCATAGGCATTCAGGCTCTCGAGGCTGATCGAGCCAGAAATAATCAGGAGCAGCTGCATTCACAGTCAGGGGATAAGGAACAAGAGCTGGGGCATCTGGTTAATCCACGGGCATACCATGTGTTACAGTGAGCACTGATGCTCTACAGGTCTCCTTGCCTGGCAGGGGCATTCTTAGTCTTAATGACTAACTGACATAGGATCTACTGAAGAGCCACCATTAGCCAAACTGTCCTTTCTCAAACATTATTATTAAGAATTATGTAAAACCAATAATACCAACTGCAAAAAATATAAAGGATAAAGGCCAATACAAACCACAAAAGAATATATAAGGAAATACAAAAAGGAGAGGAGGGGGAGGGAGGTGTGAAAAATAAAAAGAAAGGAAAAAATAAAAACAAGTAGCTTTCCTCTTCATCTTAGCAGATAAAAACCACAATCTTAGGATGTTGCAACCATTGTGAGGGTAACCTGATGGCCAAGCAATCAGATCATGATCACGTAACTGTAGGGGTACTTCAACAATCAGAAATTTGAGGACCCATTATAAATACCATTTGTCCAGCACCTTCATAGCTTCTGAACAAGAGAGGACTACCGATACATATATTTCAAGTATGCTATTTTAGGCAATTAAATATCCATGATTATACCTTTGGAACTGATTTTGTGTTACACAGACTATATAATAGCACAGTGCAGTAGTCCTTGACTTACAACAGTTCATTTAGTGACCATTTGAAGTTATAACAGCACTGAAAAAAGCGCCTGTTTTTTACATTTTTCAAAGTGAATCACATATACCGTTTGTGACCTTCAGACAAGCAAAGCCAATGGGGAAGCCAGATTCACTAAACAACCATGTTACTAACTTAACAACTTCAGTGATTCACTTAACAACCATGGCAAGACAGGTTGTAAAATGGGGCAAAACTCACTTAACAGATGTTTCACTTAGCAACGGAAATTTTGGACTCAATTGTGATTGTAACTTAAGAACTGCCTGTATAATTTAATTCCCATATTTCCAATTTTGTTATTTAATCTTTTTGAATATTTTCTTACTCATTTCCTAAATAAATATTCTCTGATTCGGGGGAAAATGTGAATTATTATGATATAATAAAATAATAAACTTGCCTACTAGTTTCTTAACTGTTCTGTTTTTATTTATTTCTTAAATATAGTCGTCCTCAAAAGGTGTGCTTGTGCCCATGCTTGCCAGTTCATCCTTTGAAAGTCTCCACTTGTTTATACATTATCCAGCATCCAGCAGAGGTAAGTAATGTTAATGGAAGCAACAAGTTCAACTAGCCATTTGTTAATCAGCAAAAGGATAATACAAATGAAAACTGAACCATGACAAATTTTATCAGTAAAACTAACTTGTTTCCTTTAATTTTTTTTTGTTTCCTGTAACCCTCTAATTTATGGTATATATACTCAATACAGACTTGAAGGCATATAATCAATTGAAAATGCATGTAATGGAAATGAGTAATAATGTGCAAAACATGGTGCCGGAATCCTGACACATGGACTGTGTAATAAAGAATAAAGAAACAATAAATAAAACAGAGGAAAATACTTAACATAGCTAAAACTATATCAGTATCATTTATTCTCTAGTCTATATCGTTCTGCCTTACAAATCATCCTTGGTGCCTTCATGTCCATAAATGGGTAGCTTTATATATTGCTTTGATGCTTTAAACCTCTCCTTTCCCTCTAATAATTTTGTCAGTTCCTAGAAACTTTATTTTCTTCTGATTCTCATTCACTCTACAGCAGGGGTGGGCAAACTACGGCCCATGGGCCACATCCGGCCCGTTGGTCTTTTTAATACGGCCCACCTCTGGAAAAAAAAAATCCCCTCTGAAAAAAAAATCGGGGCTGGCCAAAAGAGACCCCGCGCCGCGCACCAAAAAATCGAGCTGGTGAGGTTCTTGGGCAGCCAGACGCCTGCAGCAGCGCCCGCAGCAGCAACAGGCAGTTCCGCCCAGGCTCCGCTCAGGTGTCCAGCTGGGGCTGTCAGGAGTTGCTACCGCCGGCACAGCTCCACGCGGCTCCAGTCCCACGTTGCCTTGGGAAGGGAAAGGCAAAACCAGGAACTGCTGAGCCTGAGCCTCCGGGCTGCTGCTGCCATTGCAAAGCGCAGCCGCGGCTCTTCCTTTTTGCCTTTCCCTTCCCGAGGCAATGCGGGACTGGAGCCCCGTGGAGCTGCGCCGGCGGTAGCAACTCCTGACTCAGGGGGCCTCCGAGGGGAGGGGAAGGAGGAGAAGAAGGGGGGGAAAGGGTGGGGGGCGATTCCCAAAAAATGACCCGGCCCGTCTGTCAAATTTTAAAAGTCAATGAGGCCCCCGAGCCAAAAAGTTTGCCCACCCCTGCTCTACAGTATACTATCATATTTCAACTCACTTTTATGTTCAGACTACATTCAACACCTATCTCTTTCTGTTTTATTCCAAACTCTTTTTTTAGTATCTTATTGTTATGGCATTCATCCAGCTTATTATTACTTTTCTATTTTCTTTGACATACCCCACTGACATTTTCATATAACACATCAGCATAGGCAGCTATACAATCTTCTCATATACGATGAAAATATGTCTAAAGAGGATTGGAGGATGGAAGATGGAAACTAATCAAGGAGAGAACCAATTTGGTACTAAGGAGAGATTTTCTGACAGTTAAAACAATTAACCAATGGAACGCTTGCCTTCAGAAATTGTGGGTGCTCTAATACTGGAGATTTTAACAAAGAGATTGGACAACCATTTGTTTGAAATGGTATATGATTTCCTGCTTGAGCAGGGGATTGGACTATAAGACCTCTAAGGTCCCTTCCAACTCTTTTATCTGATTATCAATCTTGTGACATGTAGTCGTTCTCCAACACAAATGAAGTTGTTACGATGCAGAAGACACGAATTAGAGGGAAATTTATTAATATATAATACTGCCGAGACACATGTGGTACACTTCTATGCAGAAGTGGCAAATTGTTTTATGTTCCACATCCAAAGGACTGGATTTTGCAATAAAAATGTATTTTATTTAGTCAGCAAGAATATAGTCTTTGAGCATTGTGTGTAATGGTATACTGTTTTTGTTTTCCCAGTCCTACAAAATTGATGAGAACTACAACACAAATGGCATTATTTCCTATAAACCTGCAGCCCCCTGCTCCCTGCCCAATTCACTGGCAAGCTCCAGATGAACACTAGGCATATTTATTACACGAGGCTAGAGAGATATAGCCTATTTGCCTGTTTGCTCACCTTGACTTATATTTTGCCTGCATGGAGTTTATATACTGTTTGAGATGAGCTGTAAGATTATTGGATGCTCAATCTCTTTCCCATGTTTAGGAGAAGTTGCTTCCAATCTCATTGAAGAGGAATAACGGGAGAACTATGTGTATTCATCTGGTTTCAAAAAGTTAGAAGCATCTAGTTGGTTACTGTGAAAAGCAGACTACAATATCCTACATGAATGCTCTTTTAATATTAAATTGCTTTGCATCTCAAATTCTTTAACTGCAGATAATGAGAAATTATGTAGCAACAATATTTTTATTTTGTCCCCTTTCTTTGGGTTTGACGGAAAAGGAATTAGTTGTTTTGGATGTTAACCTGGTGTAAAATTCTACCACTTTTGTTTGTATGTAATAGAAACTATATAGCCCTTGATGGTGTAGTCTACATTCCTTGAAATGCTTCATTTTGCTTTCTTTACCTGTTAAGTATAAATTCTGATGGAGCAGAGTCACTGCAAATTGGGAGCTGACCATTGGCAGAATTGTTGTCCCATCAGTTCAGCTCTATTTTCATTTTGGTTACTGATGTTGAAGAGCTGCAAGGCTGAAGCCATAGCACTACTTGCCCATGGTACTTTTCATGATACCATGAAGATAAAGATTTCCCCAGTCCAGTTGTGTCCAACTCTAGGGTACTGGTGCTCAACTCCATTTCTTAGCCGAGGATGCCAAAATTGTTCAAAGACCCTTTTGTGGTCATGTGGCCAGCATAACTATATGCCGAGGGGCACAGAATGCAGCAACCTTCCTATTGAAACATTACCTATTTATCTACTCACATTTGTATGCTTTCAAACTTCTAGATGGACAGGAGCTAGGGCAAGTAACGGGAGCTTACCCCATTGCGTGACATTCAAGTCTCAAACCCGGGTTGTCAAATTTGCAGCCCGGGTTAACTGCCAAACTATCACACCCCTTAATTTTCATGGTAGTTGGAGTATTTTGTATATTTTCTTCTTTCTGTCTTAAAATACAGTATTTCACTCATATATATGGGTTTGACTAAAAGAGATTGTTATTTATTTTATCTAATTAATCTAGAGTTTTGTCTGACGGATCCATCAAAATTAAACTATACACTGACTTTCTGTATTTGATTAATTTGCTTTCATGTATGCTTTTTATAATAAAGGCAATTTCAAAGGAAAGCTTAGAAATAAACATGGCAAACCTAATTTTAAAGCGTGTGCGTATAGTATGTATATGTTGACTGTTTTAGTATTAATAATTAAACATACTCAGATTTGCAGCAATCTGCTCGCAGATGCCGCTTATTCATTCGGAATCCATTGGAGCAAAATCGCCAATAGATTTAAAATAATAAGAATAATAAGTTCTTTGTAATGGACACAAGCTAATTTGGAAAAACACCCTGAAGAATTCTGAAATGAATGTGTCAAAAAATGGAGTAAGTAGATGAAAATTAAGAATGATGGACCTTGCTTGCTTGCTACTAATAATAATTCATTTCTCCCAAAAATTATTTACATAATAAAATGTATAAACATTATACTTAGAATAAATAGAATAATTTATTAATACTAGAATTATTAGAAAATGTCTATCTTAGTCATGTATATCTCAGATGGATGTCTGTTTTGACCCTGGTAACCTAAACAAGCTAAATTAGTGTGCTAAGATTTGTAAGCAAATCTTTTCTAACTTACTGAAGCAGCTGTTGGGACTTTGAGCCAAAGATATTGTCCTGGTAATCGGATGAGAACAGCCATCATTGATCAAATGACATCCTAACTGCAAACAGTTCCATTGTATTCTTGTGCCACTCGCTTTGTATCCAAGGACAAGGAAAGGCTTTCAAAGCACTGCAAGATGCTTCAGAAATAGTGACATATAGCTAGCTGCCTGTGCATGAAAGGACAATCTGATCTCTTACTGGAAAGGATTTTTGGCTTGCCCAGCTTCCAGCTCCTAGCAGCAAACTGGCATAATTAGAAAAAGAAAGCCAAATGCAGCATTGCCAACACATAACATTGGGCTTGTGGAAGGTAGCAGGCATTTGCCACTTCAATGAGCACAGAAATGTGATGGTGGAAGGGGGGGAGATGCTAACAAATGTACGGTATATGAATAAGAAGGGGTGTGAACTAACCATAGAACTAAGAGTATGAATTATTGATGGAATACTGATGGATTGACAGTTCTGTCTTTATTAGTTGGAAATGACAAGTGCTAATTAGCTGGTAGTTGAAATGTAAAAAGCTCTTTTCCTGGAAGAGCCCCAAATGTGAGGTTGTTTTTGATAATTCTGGTTTATTTTAGCAGTTTTAAATAGCTATACTTTCCTTTTAATGGCACAGGTGTTCATATTATCAAAATTTCTTAGAATGGTTGTTCCTCTATTATAACAATTAAAAAACCAGGACCGGAGCCAGCATTCAGGTTTTGCTTTTAAGCACCATAGATACACATGCACATGCACCATAGGTACACATGCACTAGAGGCTGTTATACTAAAAACAATTTTATATCAAAGACAGAATTGGCCTACTTTGCCTCATTTTGAAAACTGGACTTAAGGAACACTGTACATCTGGTCTGTCATGCTACAAGATATATTCCATCAAAATTCTGCATTATTTCATAAATTAAAAAAGTACAAGAGAAAATGCATTTATGTACATATCAAACTTCCAATTTTATATGCAGCTTTCCCAAATACTGGATTCTATTTGATTATCATTATGTACCATCAGGTTACTGTCAATTTTTACTACTGTATAGTTGAATTTTCTGCAGGAGGATCTATACCCAACCTGATCCTTCAGATCTCCCAATGGTGTACCCTACCATGCTACTAATATGTTTGTCTATTCATGTATTTGTCATATTTAAGAACCACTCATCTCTCTCATAGCAGGATTCTGGATGCTGTACAATAAAAGATTAAAAGCATTTTAAACTGTATTAAGTTTAAAATAGGCAAGAGATGTTAAAACTCGATTAAAAGCAGGGAGGGCTTTCAGCCCCTTTACTGCATTTTCAGCTGTGCACCCCCAAGCAAGGGTGCAGAGCCATGTTTTTATGTATTTACAGAAGGCCAAAGAGGCCCACCTCACCTCCAGAGGAAGTTTTTCCGTAGGGTGGGGACAATGGCAGAGATAGCTCTCTTGCTGGACCCTGCAGTTGAAATTCTTTGGCTGATAGGGTGTAGCACATACCTCCTGTTACTGACCCAATAAGACACAATGATGTAATGGGGTGAAGATAGTTCTATAGGTAACTTGGCCCTGTGCCATGTAGTCTTTAAAGGTCAGAATCAACACCTGGAATTGGACCTGGAAGCAGACTGGCCCCAATACACCTCGCGTAGCACAGGTGTAGCATGCACCATTCTTTGGGCACCCAAGATTGCCCATGCTGCCACATTTTTTACCAGCTGAAGTTTTTGGATACTTTTAAAAGGTAGGCCCTGGTAGAGCACATTGTAGTAGTCCAGACAGCAGATGACCGAGTAGAGACCCTCCCTATCTAGGAAATGTATAACTGGTGCACAACACAAATTGAGAAAAGGCCCTTCTAGCCAGGTCTGTCACATGCCCTTCGTGATTCTAGGAGGACCCAGATTATTCAACAGGTCTTTTGGAGATGGCGGAGGAGAACCCTTTTCAAGACCAAATATGATAGCCTGGTAAAGGACAGCCCACAGCCTCTCCTTTACCATGGTTCAATTGAAGCTCAGTTGAATCCAGGCCTCCACAGCCACCAGGCACTGCAAAATAACACCCACCCACTAACATTATCCAGGATGGAAATGTATAACTGGGTGTCATCAACATCCTAGTGATAACACATCCCATGGTGAGAGATAATCTTGCTCAGTGATTTATGTAGATGTTAAAAAGAAATGGAGAAAACACCAAGCCTTGGCAAAGCAGGGGCCGAGAGCTGAACTTCTCACTCCCTATCAACATAGATTGGGACCAACCTCAGAAGAAGGAGTTGAACCGCATAGAACTGTGCTACACCACCACCACAACTGCCTAAGTGAGCCCAAAATGGTTGATGGTATCAAAAGGCACTGAGACTTTTAATTCAGTATATGATTATATTATTCATTCACAACCAGTGCTTTGTTTATGTGCATGTTTTATCTAGGCATTCTCTTACGTTTCTAAATAGAAAACAATTACAATATTAAATCATATGTTATTATATTCAATTTTAACTGCAGGAAAGTAGAGTGCTACGAACAGTACCACTTCTAACTGCTTGTCTTCCTGAAGACAAATGTAAAGTCTTGATTGGGCGACGCTTCTGTGAAGACAGGTGAATATCACTGTTAAAATAAGTATTTTTTAACCTTTTCTTTGAGAAAAATAGTACAGCAATATTATTTTAGATTTGTAATTCAGTGTTTTTTAGTGCAAATATCAGAATGAACCTTAAAACATCTCAAAATGCTTAAACAACAATAAAAATTATAAATTATAGTTTCTGTATCTTCAAAATGTACCGTTCTTAGCTTTACATTACGAATTATTTTAGACTGGTTTTCATTTAGTTCATTTCCAATAAATTCAAGTTAGTCTCATATGATTTCTCTTCAATATTTCTATTATATTGAATTTAGCAACCGTATTAACGCTGGTTTCCTATTAATCGTGCCATTCGTAACACTCTAATCTTTACATTTTATATCATACTTTATTCTGCACTGTATTATCCTACAAACTCTTCTATGAAGGACTGAAGAAATTTGTCTTTTTCTTTCTAGAAGTTTGGTGCACATAGTTGAGAATAAATAAATAGTAATTGGCATCAGTCATCTCCAGTGTATCTCATACTCTCTTAACTGACAGTGTCTCATGTGCTCGTTACTTTTTCTTCTTATAACAGGCAGTATGCCTTTCTACATCTGTTGCTGCAATCTAAGTTTGAAGATAGTATTGTATCATGTCCTATTTGAACTTTTCTGAATCTCAGGTTAGCTATTGAATGCATTAACTTCAAGACCAGATTGGAATGTATCCTGATCAAGCAGGATTTACCTTAATTGGCTCACTTCACAAGAATCTATCAGTTATTCTGATTAGCTATTTTTCTGTTGTTTTCTGTTTGTTTTTTTCCCCAGTGGAAAAAATGTAGCTCAGGATATGTAATTTTCTAACTATTAGTCAGCATACACTCATTTCTGGCTTTTTGATAATCAACCAGGTCATGAAAGCTGTGTTCATGGTAATGTGGTCTTTTCATTTTTTAAAATTTTATTTCATTTCTAGACATTATAATCACAGTTATACTCTAGCTTTATCCTACTTTTATTCAATTACTCATACTTCCTAGTCAGTAACTAAAAAGAGAATTGCCATTTTTGGTTTTTCATCTTCTTGAATTATGACATGTTTGTGCATGAAATGGAGATAATCAATGTGATGCTACTAGAAAAATAAGATTAGGTATTTTTAGAAGTACCAGGAAAATGAAATTAAAAAGTACCTCAACCCTAACTGGTAGTTCAGCAACATAAAATATACCCAGAAATCAGATTATTATTTTTTGCTCAATAACTTGTATGCTTTTGCTGAATATATCTTGGCAGAAATCTATTCAAGTAAACATTACTAGATTCAAAAACTGCTGTGTTCCTTTCTATATTATCTTTGTACTGTCATATTTAATTTAATGTGTGCCATAAATAAACAAATTATGACTTTGTTTAATAACCAATAAGTAAATGCGTGTTCTATTATTTATTTTGAACATTGTTTCAAATAATGAAAACTCCTATTTGGGAATTTATTTACTTTTAGACCTATAATTAATTTTGCAACCCAATCTTTCATCATAATTATTGTTTCATTTGAGGAAAAGATAATGTAATATTTATTCTAAAATAAATACTATCAACAAATTTTAAAAAGAGTCATTTTATTAGGGAGTAACTATCTTTATGGAGATTCTAAAATGATTTTCTTTTTGGTAAAGCAATCTTTTTTGTTGAGTTTATGTTTTGAATTTTTTTTTTAAAAAAAGGGTCTTGATACCTTGAATTTTGAGAATTAAAAAGTTACAGCCTGATTGAAATGGCAAGTACTACTGCATTGTTTTAGAACTTAATGGTATTTTATTTAGAAGTAGAATCATTTCCACATAAAAATAGTGAATGCAACATAAATTCTTTTATATGGCATAACTAAATGTTAAATTGGAATCATTCAGACAAAAATACTGTTGTGCTTAGTATAAAAATGTTGCCCACTTTAAAAAAGGACTTTCCTATTTTTTCTTAGTCAAGACTGAGCTTCTATTTTCCAAACATTTTAACAAATATCAATCTCAATATCTCAATACTAAAAATTCTACTCTTATGCAGAGATAAGAAACTCACATCATAAAAAATCATCACTCTGTTAGAACAAGTGTTGTAAAGAGAATGAGCAATGATAGAGTTTACATCTTTTACATTATAGGGGTGTCAAGCTGGTGCTCCTCAGGCCAGATGCATCTTGTGCAGGCCACGCCCATCCAGGCTCTGCAGAGGGAAAAACATGATCATGATATGTCACGTGATGCAATCGAGTTTGACACGCATGTCTTACAAAGTCCAGTCACATCAGGAATAGAAGGTGCAGAAGGAAAAAAACAAACAATGGAAACTTTGATTTAATAGAGTCTTATTTAAGATACAATGGACTGAATTGTCATTTATATAACTTCTAGTTTGGAGTAGTTATACAAATGGCCTGGGTAGTTGTGCAGGTAGATAGATAGACAAACAGACGTATATAGATACATGTATTAATTTACCACATTATTATTATCTGTGTTTTCCCAAAAATAAGACTGGGTCTTATTTTCTTTTGGGCCCCCAAATATTCACTAGAACTTGTTTTGGGGGTGTCTTATCCCCCCCCATGTACAGGAGGCCCACTTCTGCTTGCTTGCAGTGGGGCAGACGGCCGTGCGGTGGGGGGGGGGATCGAGCTGTCCCACACCGGCTTATCTCAGGGTCCTTGTAGCTAGGCCACCAATGCCCCAACACCTGCCTTGCCTCCCGGCCGTAGCACCAACTCATCACAAGCAAGCAGAAGAAGTGAGCTGGAGGCCACATGGGCTCCTGCTGCACATGGCTGCCAGTGCTGCCGCCAAGGAAAGTGCCGTGGATGGCCTGGGTGCAGGGGCCTTGAAGTAAGCTGATGTGTGGCGCATGGGGCAGCTCCCCTCCCTCCTGTCCATGGCACCATGAGCAACCAGACAGAATGGGCAGGCAGCTGGCTGAACAGGATCTTAAGCAGGAGTCATTTTGGGGTAGGGCTTATATTAGATGCACTTGAAAAAACATGCTAGGGCTTACTTTTGGAATAGGTCATATTTTGGGGGAAATGATACCACCACCACCACCATCAAATGGTATATGTTGCTGCTATGCCATGCATTTGTATTTAATGCTCTTTTGGGAATAATTAATACCCGGTCCATTAAAACTAATACACTTTTGTATTAGAACAAAACACTGCTCACACTTCTGTGTTTTGGGTGCTATGCCTTTGTTTCTTTGTTGGCACTTTCTTTTGTTTATATGATTTTCTTATTCACTCCCTGGATATAAGTTGTTTTTTTTAAAGACTTGGTGTGGGCTGTATTAGTATAAATTAGTGTGTGTGTGTGTGTGTGTGTGTACGTGCATATATGTAAATTAGCACAAATACTAATTTATTTATTATTCCTCCTTTTTAATAAAGTGTGTGGTGCTTGCATGTAGTAATTGACTCTTATGGGGGGATATGGCCAAGCAGAAGCAAGCAGTAGGTGCCAAGTCTGAGAAACAGAAGGCTTGTTGTAGAGTCTCTCATGCTCAGTGAAGAAATTAATAAGAAAAGTACCATCTGCTGGATTCTTAAAAGCAATTAGTAACAATAGGTCACTAGGTAAATGGCAGTTGGCACATCTGCTATATGTTTTACTATCTTAGTATCCAGTTAAGTTTCTTTCAGAAATGGCTTTCCAAGAAATTGATCTAAAAGAGTCTGTGTATTATTGGTCAGTTCTCTCCGTATAGGATATGTCTTCAATCCTAATTTAACTTCCTTTTTAAATTTGTAGTTATAATTGCTTTTTTTAACTATACTAATTTCTACTTGAACAGAGAAATAGCCATGTAAATCTATGGCAGCAAAAACTAAAAACTACAATGAGTCTTGTAGACTCTTGAAACAGTAACATATTCCTTATAGTAAAAATTTTGTGAACACAAACCGGTCAGCTTCATACGATGCTGGAATTCTCAGTTGACAATTGTATTCAAACATGAATGGAGAGAAAAACAAAAAGTAAACATGAAATACAAGAAAAATAAAAGTGTTGAAAGTACAAATTGTGATAATTACATTGAAAGTTAAATGAGTGTTGAATAAATACAAAAACCACTCACAATCTTTTATTAAATATAATACAAACATACTGGCAACACTTGACAATTCAACTTTGCATAGATCTGTAATAATTTCAGTGAAGTCCACTGTTCTTACATTTAACATTTATGTGGCTGAGGTTTACAGCAACTCCCCATTTTCCCCCAAAAATGTCACATTACTTTGGTCTTATGGTCTAGTTGCTCAGATAATAGCGAAGCTCCAATCAGTTCTTCAGATGTACTACTTGATAAACATTCTTTTGGAAGTTAATAGAAATTTATAAGTAAATAATTCCATTCAACTGAATGAAGAATACAAGTGATTTTGGGGGGGGGGGGGGTTCATAAGCAAATATCAGTCTCAGTTGGTAAGGAGGGTCAGCTTGTAAGCAGGGTCAGATGAACAGATTGGGGGGAACAAGATGAGAGTATGGAGAAAGTATTAGGTCTCTCAGAAATTCAGGAATGAATGAGAATGCGGACTTTTTGGTGAATACATTAGAAAAAGATCTATCTTGAATAAATGGGTTTAACCATAAATTGATTCATATGAACAAAGAAGTATCTTAACACACATGACTGATTTCATGGTCTCAGAGGGGATGACTGATTTTGAATGTGGAAGAGATTTTTGTTTGGGTAGTACTTTGAATAGATCTTGAGAAAAAAATGGATATGAAAGAAAAGGAAACAAATGAAACTAGAATAAGAAAATGATATGAAGAAATATATCAAATGAGTTTCTAGGAACTAATTTTAACTATTTTTTTCTTTCCTCGTGCCTTTACTTGTTATTTAGTATTTCTTAGTCATTTTCTATGCTTTCCATTACATTGTTACCCTTTACAATGAAATGAAGGGTATATTGTATATACACCAGAAAGAAAATAGTGGCAAATTATATCCAAATGATTATCAAGAAAACTGCATGGATATATTCAGGTAATCACCAGAAGTCAAGTTTAAATTGTGGATATCTTTATTTTTAATTTTAAAAACATTTCTAACTGGCATAATGTTCCATGTTTAGAAGGTAGATATTTTGGTTAGTGGAACAGCTATTTTAGAAAAGATAGGTTAATTATTTTTACTTGCCTTAAAATTATTAAAACTATTTTTTTTTTAAAAAAAAATGTTTATAGGTACCCTGAATTAGCATCCATATGCAAAAGTTCAAATACCTTAATACTGTATCCTGGAGCTGGAGCAACAAATTTGGAAGAAATGGATTTGAGTTCCACTAATTCCTATGCAATCATAATCATTGATGGAACATGGAGTCAAGCAAAAGATATATTTTTAAAGAACCCCCTTTTTCAAATGCCCAAGCAGGTAAGATTTATAATTCTTATGATTACAGTTATAGTTCCATGTTGGAGCAGTTCTTTGCATTATTTAAAATATTTGTAATTCTGTATTCATGCATACTTTTTCTTAAATTTAGCATGCCTCCCTCTTCCATATATACGTGTGGAGTCTTTGTATCTTACCCTTTAAAAATGTTTGATCTAAATCAAATCCTCAAATTATAAGTTCATAGCATTTTACTAAGCTTTGCCTCCAATTTTTTTTAAAAAATGGGATATAGTTGTTTGTTTAAATATATATCTTTTGGTACATCTGAGATGGTACATCTCAGGTAGATGAGCTGTCTTTATCTTAGTTATCCAAAGATCTTTCTTTATTGAATAAGGACTGGTTCTGTTTATAGACCAGCTTCTGTATCCATGATAAGCTTGCAGTGTGTATGATATTTAGATACTGTAGGCATAAATATGTGATCATAGGCTTGGTCAGGCACTTTTCACTTTGGGACAGCAATAAAGCATTGTCTGAATTGGCTTATGTGAATTAGGATAAGTTTTATTGATGTTTTGTTCTTTATGTTTTCTTATTAGCCTATCTCTAACAATGGAAACAACATATAAATAGTGGTGACAGTTAACTGAAGAAAAAGATAACCAGCTAATTTATTTACATGGCAAAGGAAGGCCATGGTCTTGATCATTATAAGTTTAGATGTGCACATTTTATATTTGATGGCATATGGAAGCTGCTAGCACTTTTGCTATTTGAATTGCTCTTTTAGAAAAGAGCATAATTTGCCCTTTCGTTAATGTGTTTCATGATTGATATGAAGACAGTAGTCCCACGTGATATCGTAATAACAATTTAATGTCTTCAGCATAGAGCCTTTATTGGAATGATATTGCATGACAGGATTAATTTTGACTTGTTTTAATAATGTTGTACCAGATTGTATATTTTTGTGGTATTGCATTTTGGCTGATACATGTGACAATTTTAGATTTTCATTATGTTCTTCAAATTAATGAGTGTCATAAGAGGAAGATTGTCATTACTTTAAGGATCATGAACTAACTTCATTTAAGTTATATTTTGATTCTTTCAAGAATTCTAATTCATATAGTCGTAAGAAAATCAGATCATTATCCAAGTAACAAATAATCCTTCTAGATCAGGACAGATATTTTCCCTGTATTCCTATCTTCTATTAGGAATGCTCTAAAGGGAATATAATGGATTAGTCTTAGAAATTATAGTAAGGTTCTTTTTAAAATGGCTTACATGGTGTCTTTAAAAAAAAAACATTAATTCCTCTTTCTTTCCAAAATGAGCATGGAGGCTTTTTAAATGTTAGAAATACTGGTGCAATTTTCCATCTATGCCAGAGTATTTCAGAAAAGTACAGTTGTGATATGTAATAAGTTATTGAATAACATTCCTTGTTGCTGGCCACAGGAGAATCACTATATATCAAGTTTTTCAGTCAAGCTTAGATGACTGACTCATCTTTAATTTCCATCCTCAGCAAAAGGTCCATTGGATGATTTGGCCTAGTCACTGTCTTTCAGCCCAAATTATTCTGCAGAGTTGTTATGGAGAAGTTTAGATAAAGAGTGTGATGGATCCTTGCTGCCTTAAATGCCTGACAGAAAGACTGTAAAATGAACAAATGAGAGAAATATTAAGGAACAGTAGTTTCAACAGTGCTGTTGGGACATTCTTATTTGAGTTTTCGTTCAGTAAACCACTAATACAACTAAACTGTTTTGTTAGGATTGTAGTAATCATTGAAAAGATTGATATGCAGGAAAATAGCAAATTGCTTTATTGCACTTCTTGCTCAAATCTGAATTTTAAATACTACAAAAAACAACTGCACAGAAAGGATTTGAATTGCCCAGAAAGGTTGTGCCACTGGCTCATTGATAAGGAAGCTCTTTCATGATTACTTCAACATCTCCTAACCTGAAATAGTACCAATTTAGCCATTTAAATTGATAGCAAAACATTACTATCAAATATAGATAATCTTTCGTTGTCTATAAATTTCTTTAATCACTATATATTCTTTGAAACTGAAATATAAGAAATTACATTAAATAATGAAAACAAAGAACTACAAATCATTTGAAAAGTTCCCAATAATTATATTTTTAAAATACAATTTATATATGAAAAGGAACTATTTGCTGTTGTCAGTAAAAGTTATTGGTGTTTTTTTTAGTCAGAATGGCCAATGCAGTTAAAAAGCATCTTCCATCTATTATTTCTTTTAACACAAAATATATATATATTTTAGCACTACTGTTAGGAATGTAAGTCACCTAACAGTTATTTGGGTTGGAAAATATATAAACCAGGATAGACATTTTAATACTGTCTCTTTAAGAGAATGCTAAAACTGTAATTGGGTGTGGTTCCTCAAATGGCCATAAGATGGAGCCAGAAACCTGGGTTGTTTAGTCCGTTCCTGTCCTGTCCTTTTTCTGGAGACTATTGCCATTCCTATTGACTGTTATTGATCATAGTTCATCTTGGATTTGATGTAAGTCTGTTACTGAACTGTTTTTAATACTGGACTTTGTTATTTGGATTATCCCTGGATTGAAAACTGACTGCTTTAACTGTGAATGACTTGGACTGTGTTGAACTTGGCTTAACTGTTTTACAGGAAGTAAAAACCTACATTTTATTATACAGTATAGCTGTGTGCTGTGTGTGTGCTATTCTTCACCACTCTCACTACGTTTCCCTGTGTGCGCTCATTCTCCTAACGGGGAATTACCTAAACACTGGTTATGGGCCCAGGCCATACCAGGCTCAGATAACTGAGAGCTGGTGTGAATGCACAGTACTGTATACAGTCAGCTGTTTACTGTTTAATTGTGGGTTACTATCCTGGTAAAGATGGCACAAGACCCTTCAACAAGTCTATCATTGATAACCTGGTTGGATGGAACAAACTGTGTTTCCTGGTCTATGAAGTACAGTCTACTTCTGTGTAGAGAAGTGTTATGGAATGTAGTTCAGATTCCATCAGATGTAAATGCTTGGGATCCAGAAAATGAGGACAATGCCAAGAAGCTTGCTGACTTTAAACAGAACAATGAACGAGCTCTTTGTATAATTGGACTAACAATGAGTGACCAGCAGCTAGTCCATATTCATGGAGAAGAGTCTGCTGCTAGGTGTTGGGAGAATTTGAAGAGGATTTATGTTCGTGACAGTGTAGGTGCACACATACATTTTACACGTAAACTGTTTAGAGCACATCTTCTGAAAGGTCGAGATACGTTAGCTTATTTGAACTTCATGAAAAGAACTTTTCAAGAGCTACATGAAAAGGAACTGATATTTTCAGAGCTGCATCAAGTTTACATCATTCTTTCCTCATTGGATGAAAGTTATGATGATTACGTATCTTCACTGGAAGTTCTGCCCAGAGATAAACTGACATTGACTGACATAACCAGAAGGTTGTTAGAAGAGGAAAGAAGACGGCTGGATAGGGACCAACTGAGGAAGGAACAACCACAAGAAGAGGATTTGTGTTCAACTGCCTATACTGTTTGGAAATGTTTTTCTTGTGGGGCTAGGGGACATATAGCTAGATTCTGTAAGAAAGGAAAACAACAGAATACTGGTAATCACCAAAAGACCAAGAAGAATGTTAGTTTAGCTATGTCTAGCAATTCAACTGTAAACCATGATTTGTGGGTTGTTGATAGTGGAGCATTGCAGTGCATTACTAAAAATAGAGAGAAGTTTGTAAAGATGTCTACAAGTAAGCAACATGTATCATTGGCAAATGGATGGAAGATGAAAGCTTCTGGTGAAGGTACTGCATATTGTTCTTGTATAAATGAGCATTTAACTATGTTATATGTACCTAAACTGAAATTTAATTTGCTATCAGTAAGGGCTTTAGTTAATATTGGTTATGTAGTAACCGTTAGGGGAGATAAATGTATAATAGAGAAAGAGGGTAAAAGTGTTACTGCTACTTTAGAGAATGATTTGTATGTGATACATGATGACCAGTTGAAGATGGCTAACTCAGTTTATAACAATGTTAAACCACATGATGAATATATACATTTACCGCATAGACGTCTCGGGCACATTAATTTCAAAATGCTCAAACAAACTGTTGAATTGTCAGAGGGAGTAAAATTAAAACCCTGTAGTAAGTACTTAAACTGTAATGCTTATAGCCAAGAGAAAAGCAAGGTTACTCCAGCAAACAGACTAAATGGGTTTAAGACCAAAGAACCTTTAGAGGTTGTTTTTGCTGACATAATCGGTCCTAAGAAACCTAGTTTGGGAGGTGCCTGCTATATTTTGAGTATAATGGACCATTACTCACGATACGGTTTCTGCTATCTCATGAAAAACAAAACAGAAACATTCCAACATTTCTTTAATTGGCTAAGGTTTGCAGAGAGAAAAATGAGGAGTAAAGTAATTACTTTAGTTACTGATAATGGGACTGAGTTTGTTAACAATAGATTCGAAACAATGTCAAAATTGGCTGATGTCGAGCATAAATGTTCTGCACCTTACAGACCACAACATAACTTGTTTGTAGAACGAAGAGGGCAAACATGGCTCACACTATGTTATCTGATTCAGGTTTGCATAAAACACTGTGGGGTGAGGCCATAATATGTAGCAATCATGTGTTAAACAATGTTGTGAGTACAACAACTGGTGAATTGCCATTCACTCATTGGCATGGCAAAACACCAAATTTAAGTTACCTACACACATTTGGAGCTCCAGCATGGGTGCATATTCCCTCACAAGTAAGACTGAAAGGGCAACATAGAGCTAGGAAGTTATTTTTCGTAGGTTATGAGGCCAACCATAGATCGTTTAGATTCTGGGATCAAGGCACAGCTCATGTTTATTGTGCTAGTGCAAAATTTCTTGATCACGTTGAGTGGGATAAACTGGAACAGGAATCCAGCAATGATATTATTATTGACACCCAAATAGTCCCTAAAGATGAATTAAGTAAACTA